AGGATTTTATTTCCTTATTGACTCATAAATGTTCTTTATATTTTGTGAACATTATCTGCTGTAGATTGGATGTCCCCTCAACCTCATTGAGGCTTAATCCCCACTGTAACTGATGACGGTGGGAAATTCTATTATGGTAATTGAAAGGCGGGGCCTTAGAGAGGTGACTGGATTATAGGACTGTGCTGTAGAGAGTGGATTAACAATGGTGGTCAGGGGTGTGATGCTGAGGGCTTTAAAAGAAGAGCACATGAGAGGTGTGTCTCTCTCTGCTCCACCATTTCTGCCACGTGAGACCGCTGGGTCACTATCACCCCTACCAAAGTGCTCATCAGATGAACTCCCTGTACTGTGGGCTTTCCAGCCTCTGAAACTGTAAGCAATAAATTTTATTTTCTTACAAATTACCCACTTCCATGTATTTTGTTGTAAGCAACACAAATGGACTAATACGTTAACTGTTTGCCTGCCAAATTTATTGGAGAGATTCTCTTGTTTTTCATGTTCTTTTATTTTTTATGATAGGTATTTAAAGCTAGAAATAAGGTGTGTTGTAATATTTAGTTTAATGTATTTCTCTTTATCATTGATTCCCTGTACTGTGGGCTTTCCAGCCTCTGAAACTGTAAGCAATAAATTTTATTTTCTTACAAATTACCCAGTTCCATGTATTTTGTTATAAGCAACACAAATGGACTAATACATTAACTGTTTGCCTACCAAATTTATTGGAGAGATTCTCTTGTTTTTCATGTTCTTTTATTTTTTATGATAGGTGTTTAAAGCTAGAAATAAGGTGTGTTGTAATATTTAGTTTAATGTATTTCTCTTTATCATTGAGATTTCTGAAACATATTTATCTATTTCATTTATCTCTTTTTGTGGGGAATTGGCTTTTTAAATTTTATTTATTTGCTTATTTTTCTTTTTAATTGACATATATTGATTAATGATTTGATATAGTACTTTTGACTATATAATGATCTGAAATTTATTTTTGATATATGATGAAATTAGGAATTTAAATGTTATTATTTTTCCAAATAATCTATTTTCTCAACTCCTAATCTTATATTTTCTTGCATATATTTTATGATCTTAGTGTGTAATATATTAATTTAATATATTTAGTTTATGTACTTCTTTACATACATTAATATTTGTTCTGTTTACTTACCTCTTAGTCCTTTTGTTAGCACTTTCTTGTTTTAATTATTGCTTTATAAAAATTACATTTCTGATGTGTTCTAATATCCTCTAAGGCAAGGCCCCCCTACTCTTCCCATTCGTTCTGTCTGTGGAGCTTTAATATTTCACTAGGTATAAATACAGTCTGATCCATAGCAAGTTAAGCAATCTCCTAACACCACTGAATGATTCTCTGACACTTTGAACCAACTGCATCTTGGCAACTCCTCTCTTGCTCCAGCTCTGCAATTGATTTGTTGAAAAATCCCTTGAATCATGTATTTAGTTTGGCATATATGGTTTTGTGTGCACAACTATGTATAATATGTGTATATTATAGTATATAATAATGTGCCATATATAATAAAAAGCATGTTCATTTAGGAGAATGAGAATTATCAATACTATTTAAATTCATATTTTCTCTTTCTCTACCTCCTACTGAACCTGTCTATTTTAATTTATACAAACTGAATGCACATATGAGGCAGTTTCACTCTAATCTTTATGGTAGAGAGAGTCTTCCTGCTTCTTGGGTTGTTTTGTTATTAGACTTCTGATTTAGGAGGCAAACAGCATGGAAATTACTTTAAAAACCTTTATGCAGTCAGCCCTCTGTATCTGTGGGTTCCATATCCCTGGATTAAACCAACCATTTATTGAAAATATTCCCCCCAAAATTGCATCTATGCTGAACATGTACAGACTTTTTTCTTATAGTTATTCCCTAAACAATATAGTATAACTATTTATATAATATTAACATTGTATTAGGTATTATAAGTAATCTAGAGATGATTTAAGCATACAAGAGTATTCCACAGGTTATATGCAAATACAACACCATTATTATATAAGGGATCAAGCATCCATGGATTTTGGTGTCTGCAGGAGGTCCTGGAACCAATCCTCCACAGATACTGAGGGGCAATTGTACCTTTCTTTCAGGCCATGGGTTTGCTCTTTTGCAAACAGTAAACCATATATAAGATACAGATTTTGATTCTCGATTTAGCTTATTAGGTCTCATTTAATTCTTGTCCCAGATTTTGGGAAAAGTTTTACTAGTAGGCTTGCATTTTAGTGTTGTAAGTTTTTCTACCTTTGTATGTGTGTACCTTTATCAATATATGAGGAGAAATCAAGACACTGCATATGAGGCTGCTAGATAAGTAATATATCATTAGATGCTTCTAAACTATTATTTAATAAATATTTGTTTGAAGAATTGTGTCTCTTAAGGCTATGAAAGGATTAACTTCAACATGCAGAATTTCCCAGTAGAACTGTTGGTAGGGATGAGTGTGATTACATGGATTAATCATTATCCATTGTCCAGAAGGTGTCTCCATTTCACTCTCATGTTACTCTCTCATGCCAAGCACATTTGTTTCCCTGTCAGGTGCTAAATGCTCAATATGACTAGCTGATTTAACTCCCTATTTAGCAAGAGAAAAACAACCTCATCCCTGTTTCCATTAGAGCTTGTTCCTCACACACAGATTTAGTGATTCCCTCTCTACAAAGTGTTTGGATGGGCCTTTGTTACACCTAGGGGCAAAATATGCAGTCTTGAAGCTCTGCTGGAAATGGTTTTCTTCCCAGCTTTTCAGTGAGTGATTATGATCATAGCTCATGATGTGGTATGAACAAAAAAGAAATTCTATTTGACAAGTACTATCTCTGGTTAACTAAGAACTATATTAGAAGAGATGTTTGAGGTACAGCTCTTGTCCTAAAGAAGCTTCCAGTCTAGTGTGGGAGATAAACACTTAACCAACTGACGAGTTCTGTAACAGAAGGATGAGCAAACGGATGTCATAACATAGATGTGAGACAATTAATTCTGCCTAGTCAGCAGTCAGAGAAAAAATCAAACAAAAACCCAATTCACCATTGCAGGAAGTTGACAGCACAAAAATACTGAATGTAAAGAATAAGCTCCGCAGCAGAAGCAGTAGTGAACACATGAACTAGTTTCTGGAAATCTGCATGGAAGTATGAATATGAACACAGGCAAAACCATTCCCAGGTGAAAAGCTTATATGAGTCACAAGGAGGACTGAGGACATGAAGCTTTCATTCCTCTTGCCTCAAAATCTTGTCTGGCACCTGGAGCCTGAAAACCAGGAGCTACCTCCTGGATACTGTCTCCTGGTTTGTTATATGAGTCACAAGGAGGACTGAGGACATGAAGCTTTCATTCCTCTTGCCTCAAAGTCTTGTCTGGCACCTGGAGCCTGAAAACCAGGAGCTACCTCCTGGATACTGTCTCCTGGTTTTTGACATCTTTCTCTCTTTTGCCTCTCACATCTTATTTGCCACTAAAAGCTTTTTAATTTTAAAAAACCTTTCATCTTACCTTCCCTACTGTCACCAGCACTAGCTTCCAGTTCAAAGACATAGAACCTAATCAAGATCCTGGAGGGCTTTTTTTCCCTCTTCCTATTGAATGCTGCCCATAGAGGAACCTCCCCAAACTCTACTTTTATCATATCAAGCCTTGCTCAAAAACTTAATTTACAGGGACAAAAGTCAAATTCTCAGAATAAGTTTTAAGACTCCATCCTGACTACCACGATGAATGCTCTCATTTCCTGCCTTTGAACATAGTTTTCCCCCTGTAAACCCCTTTAGAATCTTCATTCTTTATTCTACACATATCAAAATCCTTTCAATTCTTCAGAGAGTTCAAAGTTCAGCTCGAATCCTATTTCGTATTACACACTTTTGGGTTGGTAGGAAAAGTTCCCACTTCTTTCCTTTTATACAAAGGCTTGAAATTTTACTTAGAGAGCCCTCCTCATTTCTAGATATATTATTCATCTGAATGTTTGGCAAGCTCTCAGAAATAGTCCAGTAGTTCCCAATGGGAATATATTTATAGTTCAATTTGGACAGTATTTATTGTGCACCTAACATGTGTATGGCATCATGTTAAACATTCTCAGAATGTCAGTGTTAAAGGATAAATATGTTGAGTGTCTGCTCTTGGGAAGAATAATTGAGACATTTATTCATTGGAAGACTAATTCCACTTCACCTATACAGTGAATAATTTATGACTTTTCAAGTAAGACATTCTTCCTCTATTGAATTGGTGAGTTTCCTTAGTAGATGAAATTGTGATGGAAGGTTACATAAATGTGTTTAATGACATACATTTCACATTTCACAGCAAGTATCCAGGCTCAGTAGACATATAAATGTAATTAAACCTTCAATGTTGAACTATACACTTAATCTTGATGTACATATTGCTAATTATTCTAAATGTATTAGAAGCATCTTCCTCAAGGGGCCAGAAGTTTAAGAAACTATGATGCATCCATCTTCCACACCATTTTTATATGAGCACCTGCACCATATTAAGATTTCTCTGCTATTAATTTTAAAAGAAAGAAAAAGTAATTTCTTTCAATTATTTCAAATGAGAGAAAAGTTTAACAAATGAGTTATTAATAGCAATACTAAGAAATGGGGTGCGTAAAGGGGATTGTCTATACAAAAGTAGGCAAGCCTGATAAAAATCTGAGAACTACATGTATGGGATGTCACCCTTGGTATTTACAGACAAAACCATCTGCCCTCTGGTACTCTTAGTACAAATATCAGGAAATCAGTTTTAAGAAATCAATAGTTTCATTAGACAAGAATCATAGTTTTTCAATGTATGGGAATTTTATCCCACAGGTATTTGAATATCACAAGGGAAAATAAAAGATTAAGCCTCATAAGAAAGCAAAAGTACCCTATGTTATGGTCTTTGGCCAATGCTTTCTAATTCTTCTTTTTCATATCTTTAAATACAGAATCCCCTTCACCTTCAACTGAGTTTAGAAAATTCATTAAGCTCTGATGCTGATGTCACTGTCTCAATCCTGACCATGAACAACTGGTACAATTTTAGCTTGTTGCTATGCCAGGAAGACTGGAACATCACTGATTTCCTCCTCCTTACCCGGAATAATTCCAAGTTCCGCCTTGGATCTATCATCAGCATCACTGCTAACCTCTCCTCCACTGAGGACCTCTTGAGCTTCCTGCAGGTCCAGCTCGAGAGTATTAAGAACAGCACACCCACAGTGGTGATGTTTGGCTGTGACATGGAGAGTATCCGGCGGATTTTTGAAATTACCACCCAATTTGGGGTAACACCCCCTGAGCTTCGTTGGGTGCTGGGAGATTCCCAGAATGTGGAGGAACTGAGGACAGAAGGCCTGCCCTTAGGGCTCATTGCTCATGGAAAAACAACACAATCTATCTTTGAGTACTACGTACAAGATGCCATGGAACTGGTTGCAAGAGCCGTAGCCACAGCCACCATGATCCAGCCAGAACTTGCTCTCATTCCCAGCACGATGAACTGCATGGATGTGGAAACTACAAATCTCACTTCAGGACAGTATTTATCAAGGTAGGCTGCAGGGCCTGGGTTATATCCCTCCTTTAAATGGCTGTGACAGGAAGTAAAATTTTCCCTTCTCTTCTCTTTGTAGAAATCTTGCCTCTGAGGAACTTTAGTAATATTTCCAGGAGGGTTTCAGGTTACATAAGGTAGTGTCTCATGATCTGTCATCTGTAACTTGCCCTACAGACTTGTTTATGGTGTAGGGGGAATACTCAGTCCAACTTTTGAACCTTAGTTTAGCCCTTTCCTACCTGCTTTGCTCTTGGCAAGTTATTTAAAAGCTCCAAGTCTCAGTTTTCTAATCAGTAAACTAGGATAATATAGAATAACTTAATATAGTATATTCACAATATCATGAAATTATACATGAAAAGTACCTAATATCATGCTCGGCTCATAGTAGAAATACAACTAATGTTTCTTTTCCTGCCTACTCTTTCCATATCAGTAGACCCCAACAAATCTCTCTACATCTATATAGAGAAAAAAATTAGTCAAGCAGGAAATGGACTTTTCTATCTCCTCCCAGGCCTTGGTACTTAAGGCAGAATACAGTAGTGGTTAAAAGCATAGACTCTGGATCCAGACTGAAGGAGCTTGCAGTTTATCTCTGCCACTTACTACTTGCATGACTTGGTCAAGTTACTTCTCTGAGCCTATGCTGTATATCTATTTATGTAAAATGGATATAACAGTAGATCCTATTACCTATGGAATCATTGTGATAGGTAGATAGATGATGGATGGATGGGGATAGATAGATAAAACTAAGAGCTCTATAAGAGTATTACTATTATTTTATTATTTACTATTTTATACATAAGTGATTTTATATATGTATATTTTTTAATTAGGTACCTTTCTGCTCCAGTGCCTCAATCTGATTCAGAAGCTAGAATGAAAAAGCCCATTTAAAATAAAGAACAGCCCATCATATGGAAATGGTTTTCATGATCCCCTGGGAAAAGCAGAATATCCTTCAAGGAAATTTTATAAGGCCTAGATTTTCTTCTGGAAAAGGATCACTATGGGGGCCGGCCCTGTGGCTCACTCGGGAGAGTGCGGTGCTGATAACACCAAGGCCATGGGTT